TCCACAACAGCCACTGATTATAAATTGTGGTGAGTAAACTGCTGTTTTAAAGGTCAGGAATGAAGTTTAACAAATGCACAAATGTTAAAGTAACCTGTTACTTAACAGCAGTAGGGTAATCCAATCACAATATGCTAACCATGACCCACACTGAAAGACAGCACAGATAATCAGATAACAATTACTTAGTAGTGTTGGCACAAAAAGCATTTTTATTGTGTGACCATGGTCCTGAACATGTATTGTTTTGAGAAATGTACTAATCTTATTATTACATCATTCTAATCAAGTTCTTCATAATCTTGAATTAACAAAGATTATCCCAAGATTGGGATGGCATATTAGGATAAAAAGACTAATATAAATTAAAACTCATTGAAAGATATCGCTTTTAATCTCTTTTTCCATTAAATAAAAGCAATCCAAAACTCAAGAAACAAAGAGTAATCATATTAAGTTAACTTTAAGTCAAAAGATTTACAATAAAATTAAAAATTTTCAGTAATCAGTAATGAATCATCTGTAATGGAGTACATTTGACAGTAAGCTTCCCAGTCTGGTGTCTGCTGCCATATTGTCTGATGATGCAGTGATGTCCAAATCTCATCCACCGCCTCTCTCCCTGCAGCAGGCACCTGGCCAGCTATCGACCGGACCTCACTCATGGTTTTTGGGTCACAAGCTGCAACAGGAAATCGGATGACTCCCCTGTCCTGTATCCTATCCACACACACACACACACACACACACACACACACACACACACACACACACACACACACACACACACACACACACACACACAAACACACACACACAGGTGCTCCGCGGGAAAGTCAGAAGATTTGCTGACCACCAGCTCTGCTGCCTTCCTCCGACATGAGTATCTGTCTCACACCAGAGAGAGGGAGTGGTAAAGAGAGAGGCAGAGAGGAAGAAAAAGAGAGGATGGAAGAAGAAAGGGAGAAAGGGATAATAAAGGAGATGGACAAAGAAAAGGAAGAAATAGAGATTAAAAGACAGAAGGAGAGAAAACAAACCCGGTTAGGGCAGGCACAGACAAAGAGAGAGAGAGAGAGAGAGATAAAGAGACAGAAGAGGAAAGTAATCATATTAAAGGGCTGAAGGTCTCAGTCAGACTCACTCGCTGTTCTGCTGCAAAGATGAATGACAGAGCTAGCTCCAGCTGTGTGTACACGGGTGAAAGATGGACAAAATGTCAGCAATGACCTCAAGGGGTAAAAATCAAAAAAGTTGAATGTGAGTGTAGGAACATGAAGATACTGCAGTGTGACTGCCCAGCTGCTAAGCCTCACCTCAGACATAAAATGGCAGCTTGCACACATGTCCTCCCAGTTGCACTTTCTTTGCACTTAGTTGAACTGCTGATGTATTTTTTTCCTGATTCATTCAGAATAAATTCACATAGCAATGCAGGAATCTAATATAATAAATCTATGGGAGACAATGTTTTCATGTATGTGGTTGGGTTTTTTTTTTTTTTTTTTACAACTATATATTCCTGTTTCAAAGTTTTAGTGACATCCTCAGCATTCCTCAATGTAGAAAGGAGGAGTTGCTCTCTAATTAAACAATACTATATTTTTATATTATGTGCATCATTTTTAATTATTTCAACATCATCTCTGAGAAATCATGTCTGCAACTACTGGAGAAGTACTCAGTCAGGGATGTGAGGCAGACCTGCAGTAAATCAATAACACTTTGTTGGGAACTTATTCAAACCCACATTGACCAATTTTTTGGCCACCTGGGGGCAGCGCAACAACCGATATTAGTATGCATTTGGAGTTGTGTCTCTGGCCACGTAATAAAAGTAAGTCCAATATTCACTTTGCTTTTAATGCTGAGAAAAAAAATATGTGGTTTTTGCTAGATGCTAAATGTGCCACTAGGTTGCCCACCTAGTCTGTCTGTTACTTGGTGCAGGGCTAGTGGCGTATAGTGGGTTTGACTGCTGATGTCTGTGCCTGAAACCAAAGCAGATGAGATAGCAATGAATTTTATTCAGTCATTTAGTCCATTGTTGATGTACAATATTGTTTAGTCCAGGTTTAAACTTCAGAATGTATAAGCCAACCAATTATCCTGGTAGCCTACATAAAGATGGCCGTCTCATATCTTGCCTCAAAGAATGTTGCACGTTTTGGAAACCAAGTATATTTTCTCTTGTTTGCTAAAACTTCCACCTGCTACTTGCTTGCAGTGATAAGAAATTCAGTGATAATTTATATTCAGGAATACCTTTATTTTATACATTTGGACTTTTCGTCCACTGATATATACTGGGGATTTCTTTTTCAGCTTTTTTCCAGCACGTTGCTTCTGGCAGCTGTCTACCAAGTCTGGACAGAAAACTTGCTCTTGCTCTTCTGCTCTAATTCATGTCCATCCCTGAGCTCATTCCTACTGCAGGGCTGCAGTGTAGGTACACACACATGGCATACTCCCTCAGGCTTGATGGATGAAAGATGACATAACATACATCTATAGTAGTTGTGTACACATGAAACATATTGTGCACAACTCAAAAGGTATACAACAACAGTCGAGATGAAATACCAGCTGTGTGCATATTATCTTTTCTTATTCATGTCACAGACCATATGATAGTACACTGACTAGAAGTGGAAATGCAACCAGTTACTGAACATATGTTGTGTATATACGGTATATTAACATAACATGCAACTGCATTCACAAAGTCATTTTAACATACAAACATTTTGATACCACTAACTTTCTTTCTTTGGTAGCTTAATGAATAAAGGCCTTGCTTTCCTTTTGTGTTGTATTTTTCCCTTGAGGAGAAACTTTGCAACAACAAACACAGGTGAAGCAGTTAAAGTGAAAGTGATGCAAAGCCTTATTTTGACCAATTTCTGCACCTGTGCCAGCCTTTTAAAGTTGCATTCACAGTCTTTTCGTTGAATAATGTATAAGAGGCCCAAATGGTGTTTTTTCTGTATTTATACAGTAGTTTTATTCATTATTCATGTGTTGATTCATGTGTTAAAGTAATTTCGTGCACATGAGCCATGCTGAACTGCAGCAAATCAAAACTGAACTCTGCATAGTACAGCAGAACAGACCTGTCTGTTCCCTTTCATTGCACACACACTTTTCCTTAAATTCAAACTCAGTCTTCATTCACTGAATATGTCTTGTTACTTCACTGCCTTTAGGTATCTGTGCAGATATGACTGTAAATGCCCACAACGCGGTTCCATTAAATGGTGGTCATTGGCTCCCTCCAAGGTTATTATTCTAGCCAACTGAAAGTCTGTCAGCAGGTTCAGCTTGCGGTAATGAAATGTAAACGTGGATAAAACATTATATAGCCAATGATACCCCTGTTTCTCTGATAGTTTATGTTGTTTCCCATAGCAACAGATGCTGAGGCTGGATGCTGGAGCTTCAGAGGACCAGTGCTAGTATTATTGTTTAAACATACGATTGGATTAGGGAGGGGAATTTCTGATGTAATTGACATTAAAATGAAATATATGTAACATGACTAGTCTACAAAGAGAGATAAAGAAAAAATGGAGTGAATGCAGGTGGAGCTGCAAAACAGGAGAAAAAAGAAATACACCTTGTTTGGTAGAACGTGGTTGCTCACAGAAGATAATACATTTACATGCATGGTCAAGCCCTAACAGTTTATCATATTTTCATATCTGAGATTGCATCCGGCACCAACCACAGTGTCATTGCAGCCACTAAATGGACTGAATTTCAATATTTAATATTACTCTGGCTGTAGTATGGCTGCACTAGTTTCATCAAAAGGGCTAAAGCAGTCTTAAAAGAATAGTTTAACATTTTGGATATACACTTATTGTCATATCTGGTGATGCAACTTTAATAGATTAAGTGATGAGGACCAGGCTTAGAGACAAACAGATGGACAGATGGCAGGTTACAGGACTGGGCGTCCGCACCATGAGCAGCACAAAGGGAAACACAGAGAGACATTAGCAAGTGACTGGGGAAAAGGTTGGTGATATGATATGGAAAACATTTTTTTGTTTGTTTAATCAGCACAAATAATCAAGTGATAAACATAAAGTGTAAAGATGACAAGTTGTGGTTTTATGGGGTTTATATGTTTGACTATTTTTTGGCTATCGGCTCAGTGATTTTCTGGTGTCTTCACCTTGAGGTTGCTACACTACCAGGTAAGACCATGTAGCAACCTCTGGGGCAGAAAAATGAAGCCAACACAGACGTACTAACAACTGCATGGGTCTATGGGTAAGACTCATCTAGTCATTGTGTTAACATGCTGTGTTAGCATGCTAACACGTACCCGCATCTAAGTGGGAGCTACTGACAGGCGACAATTTTTACATCACCTGCTCCTGGCAAGAAACCACAGCTAGAGAAAACTTATAGCACCTTTAAGCAAGAAGTAGCATGTTAATAAATGAGCTTTAGATATATTTCTGAACTTTGGGCAGAGCCAGCCTAGCTTTTTCCCTTATTAACGCTAAACTGCCTCCTGGCTGTAGCAATAATGTGAGTGGCATAAATCTTCTTGTCTCATACTTGGTAAGGGGAAAAAATGACCTAAACTGTATAACTATTCTTTTAGCAAAGGTAAATTTTGATTGTTTTTAACAATAATTTGAAGGTACTAGTCAGGCAATACAATTTAATGAAAGTTTAGGAAGCAGCCCGCTCTACATGACTCAGCTGTTTCTGCTGATATGACTTCCCTGTGTGACAACCCTGTTGATGTAGTTTTTCTACCTACTACATTAATAGCAATCACTAGCCCTCGCTAACCCGCCCATAAGCGTCACTGATTCAAATTGCAGCCGAGGCAGAGGGGGAGCAAGAAGAGAGCCTGGCTGAGCAAACAGCCTCACACACTGAGAGCTGAGGCAGAGAGAGGAACACAGAGCGACGAGCGAGCGGCTGGGGATCCTTCAGTGGTTTTTCAGTTGCATGAACACAACCGTGTACCCCCCAGGATCTAAAGATGTGGACAGAAGTCGGAAAGCTTGTGCTATTACATTTGTTACTCATGGAGCTCTACTGCGCTAAAGGTAAGACTCTTGTCTCAGCGAGAAGGTGAATTTGCATCGCATCACGGACGGCAACGCTTTGGGGGATCGTAGCCTACTGAGAGAAACGGCTTGTCTCTCAAGTGTGGTCCGCGTCCTCACAAGTGCTGCGCTAATGTGCCTTTCAAAGACTCCTGTCGTTGCTCACATGCAACGGCACACACCTGGATGGCCACTTTGTTCCGGGCTATGAACGCAACCACCGGTGACATTAGGTGACAATACGCGGAAGAAAAGATCGCACAACCTAACACGTGTCTATTTCAGTACGCTGTTGTTTCAGTTTGTGGTGATGTGGACACGAAGTGCAGCCTGCAGTAGTATGCGTTTGGTTATTAGCATCTGCAGCTTAATAACGATTTTAGCAGATTTGCCTTAACAGATCTTTGTGTTTAAGTGTAAGCAGGACACTGGTGACAGGCAGCCACGGTCGCGTTAAAGGTAGACTATTGATACATAAACAACAGGCAAGCCATAAGAGTCATAAGAATAATGCAAAACTATACGTAATATTTTAACAGGGTTAGATTAGAGAAAACACACGAATTAACCAGTGATTACAGCAGCAGTGCTATCGGGGGAAGCCTATCTATTGGATGATTTAGAACAGCTATAGCACTTTTCAACCCCAAATACTCAGAAAAATATATCATATAATATTTGTTTGTGTTCTGGGCTGTATGTGATCTGTTTTAGTGTTATTTGAAACATGGAGATTGATGCAATATATCAGTTAACCCCCAGAAATGAAGAAGCTCACCAGTGTAAACACTTTGTGGTTGAGACCTCTTTTGCCATAGGCTGGTGTTGATGAAGTACTTATACAGCTTCTTTCCTGTAAGTGACCACCATTTACCCACTGTGTATCTATGGTTATAAAATGTGATTGTTAAAGAGACTTTAATGCACTTTATGGTGTTTGTAACTCTCATATCTTGTTATTCTGATTCTACATTCGTTCAAGATCTATCTACATTCCCTCTGATTGCTTTTTAATTTTTGCTTTTTTGTTTTTTTTCTGACAACATAGGAACTCATACAGAGTCAGAGTGTGAAACTGGCCAGTTTCAGTGTAAGAACGGACGGTGCATCCCGACCCTGTGGAGATGTGATGATGATGATGATTGCTCAGACAGCAGCGATGAGGAGAATTGTCGTAAGTAGCCCTGAGTCCGTTACACTCTGGCAGATGAACACAATGATGCCTTTGCTTGCTTCCCAGCGGACCTTGAATATAACTGCTATGATATATGTTACAAACTGGAATCTTAATCTTTACACACATTTGGTGCCAGACCATTATTTGATGAAATAACACACTCCGCTATTTGATATGGGCTGACACATAGCTGGATAACAGTATATGCTGTAGATAACTGATAATATCCATGTTGTAACTTTTGAATGAATGAAGTTATACTAACTGAGAGTAAGCTCCTTATCATTTTGCCTGGGGCCCCTCTGGAAACTCCCTTTTTAGTTGTTAGTTTGCAGACTACAGTGCAGGAGCTGCTGATCCTGGACCACTGGTCAGGTCACATGGCCACAGGAATTTTACTCATTTCTTACCAATTTTCACTTCAAGCAAAGCAAACCTCTGACACAAGGAGAGCTGCTGCCTCACTGGGTCAGAGCGGGGGCATTTCATATTATTATTGTTATTATTTTCTCTATCTTGCTGTGGACTGTATCATCATGTCAGTACTGTTATCTGTAAGACAGTTCACCCTGCTATAATGTCTCATAATGCTTTGGATATATAATGGCTTCAGAGATTGTGTCATAACTAAAATAGGGTGATACAATTGCAGCGTTATGTGTCATGACATCTCACTGCTGTGTAATGCAGCATGCGCTAATGCAAATACTGTGGCTCTTAGATATGGTTGATCCCAAATTGGCTGCTCTTCTGTTCTCAAGGGCGCCTCTGCTTCTGTGAGCACATGAGTTGTAAATGGAGTTTAAAATATAGAATTGCATATACAATACTGCATATACAAGTATTGTATTATGTGCCTAATGGATGTGTGAAAAAGACCAGTAATGTGTGATTCTGGTTGAACTGCCGCTGACTGTGTTGCATTCAGGAAATTGCACAGACAACCAGCAGAGTAATCATCGCTTATAAATTTGTCATGGTACTAATTGCTTGAATGGTTATATTAGTGGCCAAATTGATTCATCACTTATCTTGGGGACTAGCACACCAAATCCATGATTCTCTCATCTCACACGCCCACCCTGGTGGTGGCCGCTGATATCCTGGGAGTTCCCTGCATGAATGTTGTGACATTTACAAGCGCGTCTCATTGACTGCAGAGACTGACTGGGATTATTGGACATTTAGTGGGCAGCGCTTGATGGAAGTGGAATTAGATTTTAATGAGCTCCCCCTCGCTCTAACAGGTGTGCTTTACTTTGTTGTTCGGTATAGGCGTAGCTCATTGAGACTGTGAAAATGGGACTTAAGCCACAAGGTGACAGACTCTTCTTGTACCTGAGCCACTTCGTCTGTGGCAGAAATGTGCTCTGGCTCTTTCTTCTTTCTTCTCTCTTTTTGCTACATATCCTGTAAGCTTAAGATGTGGTTATGCTTTCCTCTTGGGCTCCTCTGTCACTCTCCCAATCTCTTTCCCACTCAGTCTCTATATCTTTATGTGCTTTTTATCTCATGCTGTGCCTTATACTCTCTTCCGATCCTTGCTCCCTCTCTCCCTTCATTGTACCTGCCTTGCACTCTCTGTTCTTTGAGTGCTCCAGTTCTCAGCCTGTTTTGGAACTTGGGTGCTTCCTTCTAAAAACTGTCTCACTTCCTCGGTGTTGTAGCACCCACTAAGGGGTTACCCCCCCACCATTTTTAAATCTCTTGTGGGCACCTTGGCAGTGCGAATGCCAAAGAGGCTATGCCTACTTGTCTTACACCCACAGAGAGCATCAGCTGACAGGTTGGTTGGAGATAAATCCAACAGCGTGACTCCGGTTGCCGGAGTGATGCTCAATGGCTGGCAGCGGGCCAGCCCTTCGAGCAGATGCCAGCACTACCACTGTGCCCCCTCCCCAAAACCCAATATCATCAGCAAAGCTCAGTGGAGAGAAGGAGGAGGTTAAGGAGGAGAAGGAGGAGGAGAAAAGATGGGACAGATTTGATTGAGGGGAAGAGGATGGTGTAGAGCAGAGATGATCAAAACAGGAGCAGAGTAATTTGGAGAATTGGAATAGCAGGGGGGGCAAATGGAGAGAGGAGGAGCTTGTGTATAATTACAAGGGCAAGGGTAAGGTTAGCCTAGCAACAAGTTTCACTTCCCTCATGGTGGCGTGGCTGTACATCACATGATTGACACTGCTCTATCTCCACAAAGAATTCTAACATTCCCTCAGCTGTCACTGGTCTTCACTTCTGACTTTCAAAATAAAACTACATAATGAAAAACTGAAAAATGGGAAAACTGAAACGTCCCTTAACTATAGCTGGATCTAAAATCAATCTACGTCAAGATAAATTGTCTTATTTACCTGGATAAAGGTGATGAGACTGTCTTAATATATCAGTGCATTTTATGTCCTTTCATGTGTTGCATCACTTGTGATGTTTGTTCTTCTGAACTTCTGGTTAGATGCTACTGGTTGTTGTAACTGTAATTGGTTTAATTATATGAGATTCAGACAATTTAAGCATAGAAATTTGTAATATGGGTAAATTTAAGTTGTTTAGATGTATGTGATAGTTGGGTTTAAGTAAATTTGCAATTTTTGTCCTGCACCAATCCAGAATTATCCACTGAAATTAGATTTTGAACAAATTATAAGCACTCCTCGAATCCCCCCAAGCAGTTTTGCAGTTGGGCTTCATTTGGTATCTGTTGCACAGAGTGTTTACACCAAAGCACAAGACCTAGAAACAACTACATCATCGAGACTTGTTGTCACTTTGACTCATGTCATGTCCTCTGCAGTCTGTGTAGGCAACAATGGGCACGTAAATACACCTGGAATGATTCTATCATACGATACACGTCCCAGCCAGCTATAACAGTTTGCACGTGTTTGTGTGTGAGTATGAGCTACAGTATCTGTGCGTGTGCCATCAGTCAGTAGTTGCATCACCCATCTCATTGTACACACAAACACATGCAGGTCTCTCACAGCAGGGATTACCTCTCCAGCATCCTCCCTCTAGCAGCTGTATTAGAATAAGCCTTGCTAGATTGGGTTGTCTTTTGTGTCTAGACTCTCCTTTTCTTTCATTCTCTTCTTTTCCTCCTCCTGCTTCTCTCCTCCCCTCTCCTCTCCTCCCCTCTCCTCCCCTCTCCTCCCCTCTCCTCTCCTCTCCTCTCCTCCCCTCTCATCTCACTTTCCTTCATTTTAACGTGGCTCTTGGTAGATTCCGCTCTTGTTGCCACTGGGAACGGTAAGATGTGGTCGGTGGTGGTAGGTGGTGTGTGGGTGGTTGCTGGGTTTTTTGTGCATTGTGTGTGCCGTCTGTGTTAGGTTGATCACAAACGCTTACATGCACTACGTGTAGCTGTACATAACGGCACACTTACCCTCTACACGCGTGTATGACCTATATTTCGGCTGATGGAATATACAGAAAAGAAGGCCTATATCATATTTTTACTAGCGGATTGTAAGTGGCATTTTAAACATGCCAAATCCAAAGTGCCACTGTTAAAATTCATCTCATATCTGAACCTCATGTTAGCTCTCCCTCTGTCACATCGCTGTATATTCTTCAGCCTCTCAAATAGCCTTGGTTCACATTGCAACTGTAAAATATCACATTATCACGTTGTGATGACTGAGTTGTGCAAGGAGTTTTGCTTCAATTGCATTCAACGAGATAATCAATTGGAAAATGAACTGCCATTAGTTTAGGTTGTTTTGGATATTTGATCTTGCAAAAATGCCAAACATTTTTACTTCGTTAAAGCTTCTCACATGTCAGGAATTTCTGCTTTTTATTATTTTTATATAATTGTTTATTGAATATCTTTGAGATTTTGCATCGTTGGTTGCGATATAAAACAAGCAAATTCCGAAGGGCATTTTTTGATACTTTTTTAGATATGTAAGACTATAAGATAATAAGTTAGTGCTTGTGCCTAGCGTAAGCGATTCATACAGTGCTAAAAACAAGTCAGGAGGATAGGGGACATAATTCTGAACCCTACACCCTTAATTAACCCATGAAAACCTAGTCTTTCACAACAGACACGGGAAATGCGAAAGGAGAATCACATAAGGTGAAAGAAAGTTCCTGTTGATGTGTTGTGTGTGTGTGTGTGCTGTGTGATGTGTGTGTGTGTGTGTGTGTGTGTTGTGTGTGTGTGTGGTGTGTGTGTGTGTGGTGTGTGTGTTTGTGTGTGCTGTTGTGTGTGTGTGTGTGTCACAGCAGGACAATGAGTCTGAGCTGGTCTGAGAAGGGGAGCCCGTCTTCCAATGCAGTCTTGAGACCGGCTTCCCATAGAGGAGACATACAACAACATTTCACGCCACTTGCTGTGTGTGTGTGTGTTATGATGGTGTGTCTTTTTTCTATTTCACACACACAAAACACACACATGATACATTAATTTAAGAGACTGCAGAGAAGCGCTTCAGGCATAAAGGCATTGTGTTGATAGGTTCACAGAAACCACATGGTCACCTGCTGACACACACAACACCACACACACACACACACAACACACACACACACACCACACACACACACACACACACAACACACACCACACACACACAACACACACATTATAACATACATACATACACAGCTGGGTGTCAGACTTTTAAATGGCGCAGTATGAGCGTCAAGCGGGACCGGTAGTTTTAATCAATTACACACAGACACACACAATACAAACACACACAATGAGTATGTTAGGAGCAGGCACGTGTGGCACCACTCGCATAGATTAAAACAAGAGAGACACACTGCTCCTTGAAAGAACAATGTACACATACGCAAAAGATTTGAACTGAGGCAAGGCTAAAATTTATCATGTTAATATCCAGTGCAGTTTCAACTAGTATTACCTATTTTCCTGTAATCTGCAAAAATAAGCATTAATACAGACCTTTTGTTCAAAACAACCCACACACAACCCAGTGACACGCGACTCCGTATGTTGTGTCATTTATATGTCAGGTGTAAGC